TTGATGTCCCCTGTGACTATGGTCCCAAGCCTGCAGGTTCAACTACTCAGTTGCTCTGAGTAGCTGGCTGTGACCAAGCAGTGACCACAACCTTCCCTTTGTCAACAGCTTGGACTTCTTCCTTCAATTCCATCAGTTCTTGATCATAGGCTACCTCCTGAAATAGTTGAACATCGACCAATTTTTTTTGGTACAGTGACTCTGTGTATCCCTTCCATCTTCTTTGGATACTTCCTGTGTCATTTAATATCTTGCCCATAGAATCCTTCAATATTGCAACTTGAGACTTGAACATTTTCTTCAGTTCGTTCTGCTTCAGAAATGCCAAGTGTTCTTCCCTTTTGATTTTCTAACTCCAGGTCTTTGTAGGTTTTATCCTAATACTTCATTTTGTCTTCCCTAGCTGTCCTTTGAAATCTTCTGTTCAGCTGTTTTACTTCATCATTTCTTCCACTTGCTTTAGCTACTCTACATTCAAGAGCAAGTTTCAGTCTTTTCTGACATCCATTTTGGTATTTTATTTCTTTCCTGTCTTTTAAATGACCTTTTGCTTTCTTTATGTATGATGTTTTTGATGTCATTCCACAACTTGTCTGGTCTTCAGTAATTGGCGTTCAATGCGTCAAATCTATTCTTCAGATGGCCTCTAAATTCAGGTGAGATTACTCAAGGTCATACTTCAGCTTTTGTAGATTTGTTTTAATTTCTTCAGCTTCAACTTGAACTTGCATATGAGCATTGATGGTCGGTTCCACAGTTGGAACAGACCCTAGGTCATGTTCTAACTGATGATACTGAGTTTCTCCATTGTCTCTTCCCACAGATGTAGTTGATTTGATTCCTACGTATTTCATCTCCTGTGGTCCCTGTGTATAAAACCAACAACGCAACCATTGCCATGGAGTTGGATTCGACTCATAGTGACACTTTCTTGGGTTTCTGAGGCAGTATCACTACAGAAGTAGATTGCCCAACCTTCCTTCCAAAGAGTGGCTGGTGGGTTTGAACCCCCAGCCTTCTGGTTAGCAGTTAAATGCCATGTACAGTTGTCATTTATGGTTGTTGAAAAAAATATATTTAATAAATAAGTCATTGGTCTTGCAGAATTGTGTCATGCAATGTTGGGCACTTTCTTTTTTTATCACAAAGGCCATATTTTCCAACTACTGATCTTTATTCTTTGTTTCCAAATTTCACATTCCAATCACCAGTAATTATCAATGCATCTTGATTGTATGTTTGGTCAATTTCAGACTGAAGAAGTTTATACAAATCTTCAATTTCTTCATTTTTAGCATTAGTGATTGATGCATAAAGTTGAATGATCCTATTAACTGGTGTATGAATATTATCCTATCACTGACAGCTTTGTACTTCAGGATAGATCTTGAAGTTTTCCTTTTGAAAATGAATGACATTCCTCTTCAATTTGTCATTCCTAGCACAGCAGACCATATGACTGTCTGATTTAATATGGCCAATACTAGTCCATTTTAGCACACTAGTAGCTAGGACATCTACAAGCGTTCCATTTCATTTTTGACGACTTCCACTTTTCATAGATTCATACATTCCACGTTCTAATTATTAATGGATGTTTGCAGCTATTTCTTCTCATTCTGAGTCACACCAGTTAATGAATATACTGAAAGCTTTACTCAATCTACATCATCAAGGTTGATGCTAATTTGAGGAGGTAACTCTTCTTCTGTCGTATTTTGGCTGCCTTCTGACCTGAGTGGCTCATCTTTCAACACTGTATCAGACAATGTTCTTCTGTTATTCATAAGGCTTTCACTGGCCAATTCTTTCAGATGTGGACCTGGCCATGTCCTTCTTCCTAGCCTATCTTAACCTGGGCGCTTTGTTGAAACCTGTCCACCATGGATGATCCTACTAGCATTTGAAATAGCAGTAGCATAGATCCCAGCATCACAGTAACACGCAAGTCACCACAGTACACTAAACTATGTGACAGACAAGTTGTGTTGTCATACTTTACACCAGGTATATAAGCAAGCTCACTTTCCTCTTCTTTAAAAACTGAGTCTTTCTGATGCCTTGGTTGTGTAGTATATATTATAACAGTTATATAGCTGCTAACTGAAATGTTTGCCTCTGCTGAGAGATACCTCTACTTCTGAAAAACCAATGATTGAAAACCCTATGGAGCACAGTTCTACTCTGACACACATGGTGTTGCCATGAATTGGAGTCTACTCAACCACAACTGAAATGAATGCCTTAGTTGATAGGTTTCAAAATAAAACATAAATCTGAATCAGGCCTCTATGGAGGAATAAAATGTGAGCAGGTAGAGGTAAAGTTGAGGTAACATTATTGCTGATTTGGCCACAGCATTAGTATGCTTCTTCATACCTGATGCCCCAAGGTATAATTTCCTGTATGACAGGTCCCCATTCTTGTCAATTGTCCCTGCTGGACAAGTGATGGGAGTAAAATGTCATTTGGCAACAGACCTTCAAGGGGGTATGCATAAACTTTCTCAGGACATTTCATGTGAAAGGCTAATTGGCAGAGACGTGGCCTCCTGAAAGGCAGCTCACATTCAGGTGTTCAATTCTGTGTAACACTTTGATGGGAACAAATGCAGTCTCCTGGTGCTCAAGCCACTATGAAATGGCTCTTTATATTGAAAACAGGCTGATGTGAGTTCTGCCTCTAGAGTAATGAAAGAGAAGAGGCAGCCCCTAGTCAAGAGGGACTGACTAAACCCTAGCATGGTCATAAGTTGGTGGTGTGCATTCCTGGTTTTCAGCCCATTTTGGCCTCTATCTCACATAAGTCTGGTTTCCCCACCCAAGATTTTGCCCTGAATTCTGGGAAGAGAGGTGGAGAAATGTGGTCTAGTAGAGGAGGCAGGTGCTATAAAGATGGGCAATGCAATGAGCCAGCATTTTTCAAACTCTACTCATTGGAATATCTTCTTGGAGAGATGGTTTGAAAAACAAAAGGGTAAGGGCGTGTGTGTGTGTGTGTGTGTGTGTGTGTGGTGACTATATTTGGGAAGCATTATATACTCCATCCCTACTTTGTAGATAATACATAGGAAAGGCTCTGAGAAGTCCTGCAGTAAAGAAACCTTTTTAACATTGTCCCAGTATTTCCACAACTCATTTGATTATAGATACCATTTGTACTTCTATTTACATCCCATTGAACTAGGGCTATTTGGAGCTCATTTCAGGAAGTGCTCCTAGAGGCAAATGGTAGGAGTAGGCTAAATTACATTGTTTTTCCCTCCCTATCAGGGTAACTCTGCAACAAGCAGAAACCTTGGCCTTTCCTGCCCTTTGTTATTGAACACATTTCTAGAATGTCTGGGTCTACTCACTGCCTTAGTTTATACAGTTAAGAAAAGAATATTGTATCTTGAATGACGAAGAATCTTGCATGACCTTGGGGTCATTACTGTGAATACCAGCTATGACTTGCATTCTTTGGAAATGGGAGTGGAGATGGGTGAGGTGTAGGACACTGAACCAGAGTAGGCCCTGGAAAGTTTCTACAACCTACCAAATTTCCTGACATGCACCTGTTCTATTTTTCTTGGCTATTTCCTCTAAAATTGATTTGTCAAAATAAATAAACAAATAAACAAATAAATAAATAAATAAAAGCCATTCTGGAAGCCTGAAAATTCCTAAAGAGATAGGAATTGACTTTACAAGGAATAGGTGTTTCATGTGTCTAGAGTCATGAGCTGTCTCCTGTGTCCCACATGGGAATGGGAGACATTTCTAATCAGTGCTTGGTGTTCCTTGGCTTTTAGCATTCCCATCTGAATGTTTAATCCCAGAAGGCAAACATATTTTAATCCCCTGTCTATTTTACTCCTGTGTGTGTGTGGGTATATTAAAGTACTTTTGCATTTTTCCTTTTTTTTTGGACTTGACTCAGAATATTAAGTTAGCTTTGGTAGTCACTTGTTCTTTGCTGTTTCACATCCTTGGTAGGTGCCTCTTTTGAGTGATGAATTATCTATCCCCTGCCTGTTAATTCCTTTGGAAATATGGAGGATACTACCAACATAGCTCAGAAATAACTCTCTCAAGGAGTCCCTAGGTGCCCATGTGTGTGCCTGTGTCTCTTCCTCACACCCCTAAGCTGACTTGTCATGCTAGTCCCCTGTAGTGAGACAAGGACATTCCTTTACTTCAAACACATGTAGGTTGATCCATAAGAGAGCTGTGCCTGTACTGTCAAGAGGCAGGGACAAAACTGTAGAGTGAACACAGGGCCAGGAAGGAGAAGGCAGAAAAAGGCAAAACAGGAGAGGAGGAAGTCTTACGTGGAGAAGGCATTGTTCTGTTTCTCACATCGGATCCCCTTGCAGTTGTTAGGCTCATCGATAGCTCTGGTCTCATAATAAAAGTAAAGTTGGTTCAATCCGTTGGCAAAGGCCAGCAGTACTAGGCAGTAGATAAAGAGGAATTTGAGGATATCCAGCAGCATGCGCCCCAAAGAGATCTGCAGAGGCCCTAAGTGGGAGTTGGCTGTGAACAGGGATATGAGACGCAATGAACTTAAAATGTTGGATATTGCAAAGAGTGCTTCTGCAATCAGGGTTGGGTGCCACATTTCCCATTCCTCCCTTGGACGAGAACCATTATACTGAAAGAAATAAGAGGTACACAAGAGAGGTACAATGAGCATTTATAAAACTTTTCCCCTTTCAAATCCTAATAAAATCATCAAAGTATGCTTCAAACATTCACATATACAACAGACCCCACATATGGCACAGTTAGTCCTTTTTGTTTTCTATACAATCAATAAATGAAACTAATAGATAGCTCTCTCCTTCCTAGTCCCATCCAAATACATACCCAGCATATACATATATAAGAATGAATTCCTGAGCTCTCACATGGCTTTATCAACAGGTATTTTCTAGCTGTGAATTTCCCAAATTTTGGGGAGTATCACTGAAATAGAGCCAATAGTATGCCCAATACAGTGCCGACAAATCAAATTGACTTCTGCAGTCCCCCGTTTTGTTCTGAACGCCATAGACTAGTTATATTAACTGATTCAGCCTTCTCATTGCAGCGTTGGTCCTGACTACAGTTTGGGGCTGACAGAGTTTCTGCCCAATTTTTAGCAAGGTCTGTAATGCACTCTATACTATTGCAAATGGTGTGTCAACCTCCAAGTAGTGAATTTAGTACTGCATCACATAGTGGTTTATGGATGTATTTTGTTTTTGTTCCATAGACAGCCCTACAATTTATAATGTCCTTCTAGGACAAATGAAGAACCAGGGAGTTGAAGGAAGAGGAGTGTCAGTGGTCATGGGGATAGTTGTCCCTTCTTTGCTCATTCTTCAGCTGCATCCTGGGCTTCTGCTTCTGGAACATTAAGAGGCAGCTTCGTAGAAAGATAACTTCATTGTGGGACCTGGGCTCAAAATCAGGCTTTGTCTTTAAAACTGCTTATGTCTCTCAATTTCACTGTAAAATGGGATGCTATAGTCATATTTGAAAGCCTGTATGTTCCATGTTGTTGTTGTTATGTGCTGTCGGACCTGACTCACAGCGACCCCTTGGGTTTCCAAGGTGGTATCTACGGAAGTAGATTGCCCAACCTTCCTTCTGAGGACTGGCTGGTGGGTTTGAACTGCCAGCCTTCTGCTTAGCAGTCAAATGCCTTAGGCACTATGCTACCAGAGCACGTATGCTCCATAAGGAGGGGTAAATGTTACAGAAATACAAGGAATTCCTTCTTACCTTCTCCGGGAAAGAAGCAGATTGTATAGAATTCAATCCAAAGCATATTGCCTTCAGCTCTTGCCTAAATATCACAATTTCACAGTACTAAATGTAAACAACTTTCCTGAGAAAATGTTGCATTCAGGGCCAAATTATATTGGTAGCTTTTCTAAAATTGTGCTTCAATCCCAACAAGAGAGGAAACTGGTGGTGTTCAAATCATCTGTGTGGATCCAATATCCTTCACTGTCAGAGGAGTTTGGAGAAACTTTGTCACATTTGTGCTTCTTTTTCAGCTAGACTTTTTGGTAGCCAATTAATTTTATGCCTTCTTGGCCAAACTTTGTATTGCTACATTTTTCCTTCCAAAGAAAACATCCCTGTGTGGGGTAGGCATTTTTATGTCTATTTTACAAATGGAGGGACTGAAATCCAGGGGGGAGAGTGACATGCTTAAGGTTAAGTTGGTGGTAGAGCCAGAATTGAAATCCAAGTCACTAGACGGTCATGTACTATTTCTATTAAATGTTACTTATATCTGATATCACAGCACAGATGTTTGATAGACCTTTAAATGTTTGGAGATATATGTTTGCTATCACCTGATAGCAAAACAGACCTATGCTTTAAAATGAGAAAGTATCAACTAGAACATGTATAGTTCATAACTTAGGGTTGTTTCTTCTCACAGCTAGAAGTGTAACCACAGGAAAGTGTGTGACCTATGGGATAGTGAGCCTGGATTTGCAAGACACTCAGAAGTGTGAAAGATGTCATACAGCCATGACAGCTGGGAATAAAGTTGGAACTCATCTTGCATATTAAAAACCAAACCAGTTGTCTTCAATTCCATGTGTTACAGGGTAGAACTGAGCTCCAAAGGGGTTTCCGTGGCTGAATTTCTGGAGGTAGAGCACTGGGCCTTTCTTCAGAGGTGCCTTGAAGGTAGACTTGAACCACCAACCTTTCAGTTAGCAGCCAAGCAGTTAACTATTTGGACTACCTAGGGATTCTTCATCTTGCATAGAGCCTAGCAAACTTTTTGTCAAAGGCCAGATTGTACATATTTTAGGCTTACTGGGCTGTAGGATGCCTACAACAGCTACTCAACTTCCCTCGTAGTGCTAAAGCAGCCATAGACGACAGGCAAATGAATGGGCATGACAGCAGGTTGCATTGGGTTTGTAGGGGTTGATTACTGACCCCTGATCTAACATAGTAGTTTTCAAACTGTGTTCCTTGGAGCCTGAGGGTTCAGTGGAGGGATCTAGTGGCCATTGTGGAAGCCAAAGAGGAGGCCCAGAAGACTTATTCCTCAAACCAAGTTCTGTCATTGAGCTCTTTTATATATTGGAGTGCTGTGTAAGTTTTCTCTTGAAGAAGTGGTTCCATGGAAGAAATGAAAAGTTTGAAAACCTCTTATCTAGTCCAATCTTCTTATTTCTCAGAGACAGAATCTGAGGCTCAGAGAGAGAGAGAGGGACTGCTTATGATAACTCAGCTTGTGAGTATCAGAGTAAGGATTAAATTCTGGTTTCCTGACTCTTAGGGCAGTGAAATTGTGAGGTAAGTGGTTTTTTTTCTTCTATTCTTATATTCTTTGAGATGGAATACAGCTGGAAAATAGGCCTCTGGGCTTTTTAAAGGGAGTGTGAACTATACTTTCAATCCAAAAGAAAAATATGAAGAGGGATAGCGTAATGTGGGGGCTCAATAGTAATAATAAGGATTTTTGGGGATTGTGTTTTGATCCAAATGTTGACTGAAGAATACCAACTCAGTGGGATTAGTCTGAGAGTGAGGTAAGGTAGATCTAGGCAGTGCTATCCTAGAAGGCAATTATTCCTCAATTCCTAGGATCATCTATGGGGCTTTTTGGGGTCAATCTTGTGTTTGTTCCTTCTGAGTACTTTGGTGTGTATTTTTTGGTTCCTGATGTTGTGGAACATGTGAAGTGGAGTATATTTGTTGACTAGTTTTTCACTTTACTAAAAGAATTTTCTTTAAGGCTCAGTTATCCCATGGTACTTCTCTGCTGCCCCAGTACAATGGTGATCTAAAATGTTTCAAGCATTGGAGCAGCTCTTGTGACTTTAATTCACATAAAGGAGCTCAGCCTGCTTGGGCAAAGTCCTCTCAGTCTGATGTGCCCAATTATAAGTTCTCATGCCAATCCAATTTTGCATATGACATTTCTTGGTCTTTAAATTCTCCTTCCTTGAGATGGCCTCCAACTTCTTGGCAAGATCTCCTTTGACTTAAGTGTTTCCCACTTGAAGCGGCTCTGGTGGTGTAGTGCCTATGACATTTGACTGCCAACCAGAAGGCTGGTGGTTTAAACCCACCAGCAACTCCTTGGAAGGAAGATTGGGCAATCTACTTCCTTAGAGATACCGCCTCGGAAACCCAAGGAGGGTCGTTATGAGTTGGGACCAACTCGACAGCAGGGAGTTTGGTTTTTGGTATCTTGTATACCCAACTTAGTTGAGTTGATTTATTCTTGTGCTCTGTGGTGGGGAAATGACAAACTCTTTGAAAGTCTTGCCAGTGAAGTTGGATGGGTTATGTGATTGCTTAAGACTATATATCTACAGAGACATTTTTCACATCCCCAAGAGTTAATCCTTTTCATCTTTTCTTCTAAACTTCCCTGTTGAAACAAACACCACCAATTTCTAGGTTGATAATTTATGGGCCCTCTAGTGTATAAATACTACTTCCAAAGGAAGAAATGCCTTTTTAGGCAGTGTTACTTAGCGGAGTGCCAGGATGACATGGATTTCACCCAGGTACATTAACTAGAGTCAGACATTTTCCTCACCAGCTTTTTCTTGTAAGGAAGTTGTAAGTATGTGTTAAACGATCACCACATGTATAAGGCATACTCTTCAGCTCCTTTCAAAAGTGTTTCATGACTGCACTCAATATTCATGCTTTACATAACTCCCAAAGTCTTAAAATGTATGCAACATGCATATTAGGGATATAAAAATAAACTAAGTTGTTGGAGATTTGGGGGGCAGCCATATTCCCATTTTGAAGCTCCTTAATGTAGGATTTAGTGCCAAAAAGCATGACTGATTAGACAAGCCCAGAGACTGAACTGTCAGCCTTTCCTCATGCTGGAGAAGCTCAACTCGGGGTAGAAGGAGAGCTGCCAACCTGCCAACTCATTATCTAATAATCACCAAACCTGAACTCTGAGTTTGTGATTACCCCAAGTGTGGTCCCAGGCATGAAGCTATTTTCAGGATAATTCAGGCTGCACATTGTGTAGGAAAAGCACCAGGGTGGTGTGTGTGTATAAATCGAATTGGTAGAAAAGCTATAGGTTGGATGATAGTAAAAAAAGTTGGATTCATCACTGCTTGGATGATCATCCTGGTGATGGAAGCGATGAGGGAGGCGGAATTGATTCAAGGTCTGTGTCTCCTACTATGAAGTTTCTAGGGTTCTGCTACCTGTCATATCAAGAACAGTTGAAGAAACTGGGAAAGTTTAGCTTTGAGACAACTCAGCAGGTTAGGCAGAAACGACTTCATATCAGAAGCACCGTTATGGAGAAAGAAGAGCCATTTTGTATGACCCTACAGGGAAGGGTTACTAATGAATGTGTCACAGGGAGAATGATATCAGAAAAATATAAAGTCTCACTTTTTAATTGCATGTGCACTGTAGAGAGGATTTAAACACTGATTGGATGGGTGAGTGGCTGTGGCACTTAAGGTTGTGTATCAACCTGGCTGGGCCTGATTGAGTGGCTGGGGAGCTGGTGGTAGTCATTCCCCATGATGAGACTGGCTATCAACTCCATGGTGGGATCTACGACAAGCAGCTGAGTAGCTGCCTTTGGGATGTGGTCTGCTTCCTGTATATAAGGAGAAGCCTTGGGAATGGTCTCTAGCTTATGGCACCTTGAACCCTGCATGTAGCCGAGTCGTTGTTCAGCAGTCTGCCGTGCTCTGCTGACCTTGGTACTTTCAATGGACTTAAATTAATGGCCTGCTGTGTTGTTTGGCAACATCAGGACTGTGCCTTTTTACTTGTCAACCTTGGGCGTGTCAGTCTCAGCAGCCAGCAGCTATCTGAGTGAAGAAAAGCTTCTAGCTTCATTGGGCCATGAGCAGGAGGCAGAGCTGAAGCCCAAAGTTGAGGGGCTTTCACCCAACCCCTAGAGCCTGGCACTTGGAACTCAGACTTCTAGCCTCCAAAAATTGTAAGAATAAACTCCTATTTGTTAAAGCCATCCCATTTGTGGTATATATTCCTGTCAGAGCTGCACTAGGTAACCAAAACAGTGGCTGACAGCCCTTTTGCCTAGAGAAATTTTGAAGCTAAATGATTTGCTGGTAATTGCTCCATTCTCCACTTTCTTTGATTATGTGGACACTGGTTACAAACCAATGAAGGAAACTCTGCTTATACACATAGACTGGGACTGTTATCAGCACTTTTTCCCTAAACCTTTTATGCTCCCAGGGCTAAAGCTTAATATAACCGAAATCATTGCTTTAGAAAGATGACAGACATTCCAATTTACCTTGACATAGGCCACAATCTTCAAGGAAATAGTTGCCAAGTAGAGTGAGTTCATTGCAAAATCCATCAGGTTCCACCAGTCATGAATGTATTCAGTAAATCCACCATCCCACATTTCCTTAATTTCCCCCCAAATGAAACCTGAGGAATGGAGGCAAAAAGTTTATTTGTATGCAAGGTGAATTCTGGCCATCACAGCAGGATCTCCACAAGTGAGGAAAGATGAAGTCAATGAATGAATTGGGGTCAATGGAGTGAAGCCCCTAGAGACAGTAATCACTTAACTTGTTTTCTTTCCTAATCCACCTCCCAGTCTTGAACTTGCCAAACCTGATAGCCTTTACCAGAAGATGACCATATGTTGTTTCTGAGTATTACTCACTACTAGCATTGTTACTTTAATTACTGGAATGCTGTTGCAATTTTGGGTGCCTGGTTCAACCCCCACTTCCCATTTTGTAGTGGGAGTAATTTCACCAACAAATTAATTAGATCACTATTATCCCATAGTTCCTTAGGTTCTACAATTTGTTAAAGGGAAAACTTCTCAGTAAGTTTTGAGGTTAACAAACTGACCATAGATCAAATTACTGGATGCTGGGGCCAAAGCTACACAGTGGGGCCCAAAATAATTTAGGATCCTCTTTTCTTTTTTCTCCTCTCATTGTGTGGAGGTTTCATGGAAATCTTCCTGATGACTCAGCACCCAGTAAGCAAGGAAAACATGAGCTTACTTGTGCTTTCTTACTAATCCGAGGTGAACAGTTTCCAAGATGTGGTGAAACACAGGTGAAATTGTTCACTACATATTAGTAAGTAAGCACAAGCAAGTCTGTGCTTCCCTTGCTTATTGAGTAATCTGCCCCTGACTGGGATTGTGTACAGTAACAATGAGAAAGCAGCAGATCCAAGTGCTCCTGGTTATGGAAAGGGTTTTGAATAAGCTAATCAGCACTGGCCCTGCCTAGCTCACCTGAAACCCATCCTGGCTGACATTTGGCTTTCCATTTAACCCAGTTGACAGACAGCTACCCCGTCATTGAAGATGGTAGGTTAGCAGGAGCAAGTTACGCCCTGAATGCACTGCCAATCTCACTATGGACGATGCAATACCAGGTGACCAGGGCCTGGGGCAGAAGGGAAAACATTTCCAAGATTCTCAACAAAGGACAACTCTACAGCACAGATGGTGCCTAGTTCAGGGCTAGTCCAACTGCCTATCCCGTTTCTTCAGACAGAATAAGCATGAAGTTTGGCCATAGCTGCAAGACTCTTTGACTCACCTAAAACCCAAGGCAATATCATCCATTCCACGACAGTTGGAGGTGGCCCTTGTACATGGAGATCTGTCCTGACAATATGCTGAGAAGCCAGAAGAAGCATGAAGAGGAAGGTCAGATAAGATGCTGTGTGGCAGATAAACTTGATAAAGGGTTTCTTGATGAACAGTCCAAGGTTGCTCTTGGGTGAGATCAAATAGGCAATGGACAGCATGGGAAACAGGAACCCAATGGTTATGCAGGTCAGAAGCTTGACTACCCAGTGTTTCCGCCGCCATCCAGGGAAGCCATCGTACCACAGGGTGGCAAGTAACTGTTGGCAATTAGGCTGAGCAACAAACTGGGGAAAAAAGGGAACAAGTCAGGCATATATATGTCCAAGGGGAAGTCTACAATCATAATACACTGCCTAGTTTACAGCCAGCCTGTGCAAGGGACTGCATAACCAATCCCCAAAGAGGCCTGTTTTCTAGGTTCCCATGAATGAGTGTACCTCGGGACAACTCTACATGCCAAGCTATATGACTAGTTTTCCTTAGTGTTGATTTTTATTTCACAAACACACATACATATCTATAATCCTCTGTTCCATCTGTACTTTTGTGTGCCTCCTTTCCCCCCTCCTATGATGTTAGAGCAGTAGTTCTCAAAACCTGGCTCTGTGTCAGAAGCATCTGGGGAACATTAAAGAATTCTGGTTCCTAGGTCACACCACTGACTTACTAAATCAGAATCTCTGGAAAGTAAAGCTGGGCAGCTATCTTCCAAAGTTCTTCTGGGAATTTATATGTCTCTTACTAGGGAATCATGGGGCTATTTCATTTCAAATTAATTGACCTTTCTCACTCCCCTAGTCTACATAAGGTCATCAATAAATGTGCATTGTGTCTGGGCAAACACAAACTGGCAGGGAATTATCCTATGCCTGTGGCTATGGTTGGAAAGGGAAATAAGTTCCACTTTTGATTTTGTCTTTTTTCTCCTTTGGGTCTGAGCGCCTCTGGGTTGGCTAGCAATGAATCAGGTTGCTACTTTGCCATCTATTTAATACCCTCTCTAGTCTAGACATGCAGAGGAGGAAAAAGTATTTGATGCCCAACATTACAATATTGTATACTAACCCAGCTGGGATTTTACATAAATGCAATCTACAAAGTGTCAGTGATTAATAATTAAGGAATCATCAGCATTGCAAGTCACCCTCCAGCTGCTACTTCCTGGTAAGTGACTCAGTAGGGAGCTCAACTATCTACCATGATTTAAAAATCTGCTTACACACATTTCCCCTGATTATGTATGGAACAGGTTAAACAGAGCTGCACTGCATATCTTATTCATGCAAAGGTAATGAAATAAACTCCTTCTATCATTCACCCAACATCCAGGGTATTAACCTACCTTTCCTGCTAGTATATTGGCAAAGATCACTAGTTTCCCATCAAAACTATTTTTCTCCTCCTTGAGCCTACAGTTGGACTGCATTGCTCAGTCTCCCTTGCAATGAGGTGTGGTCCTGTGAGTTAGTTCTCAGTAACAGAAGGAAAGAGGAATGATGTATGGCATTTCCAGGCCTGGCCTACATAAGTCATGAGTGTTCCTTCATGTGCTCTTCCCCATCTGGATGACTGGAATGTGGTAACCAAGGGTGACCAAGGGGTTTTGTTATCCTGTGTTTCTTGATGACCACATGGAGGAGAGCTGTCCCTGCTGACCTATCTTGGACTATTACATGACTAAGAAACAAAGTTCTATCACGTTTCAGCCATTATATATTAAGGAGCTCTGGTGGTGCAGTGCCTAAGGCATTTGACAGCTAACCAGAAGATTGGTGGTTCAAACCCACCAGCCACTCTGCAGAAGGAAGACAGGGCAATCTACTCCCGTAAAGATTTACCACCTCGGAAACCCAAAGGGGGTCACTATGAGTCAGAATCGACTTGATGGCAGTAGGTTTGGTTCTTTTGGTTTAAAGCAGTTTACTATTGTGACACTACCCAAAACAGGCTCTCAAGTGTTTCCATCCTGTGTTCTTTCCTCAGAGGGTGTTCATGATCACTAGTATCTCCTCACATCTCCCTTCCACAGAGTCATACACATAAAAACCAGAAACCCAGAGTCCCTTTCTACTCTTCTTAACATGATACCCTATGCCAAAGGCTAGGATGAAAAAGTCCAAGGAAAAAATACAGAAAAGTCCAAGGGTAATGCAAGGCATTTGGATGCAATGGAAAAAGCACTTGTCTGGGAGTCAGCAGTTGTTGTTGTTGTTGTTATTATGTGCTGTTGAGTCAGACTCGACTCATAGCGACCCCTCCTTGGGTTTCCAAGGCAGTATCACTACAGAAGTAGATTGCCCAACCTTCCTT